TCTTGAATTTACATTTCTAACCGCGGCTAAGAAACGGCGCGTTATGGAGATTGCGAAGGTAAACGGCGCGATATCAGCATATCAAACGGCCTCTTTGAGCTCTCTCCGGCTCTCGGCGGGCGAGCGTGTCGGCGACAGCCGCGGGGCGCTTTTTAAAACGCGCGGCCCGCAGAAAAATCCCGGGGTTTTTCGAGTGTGTGCGCACACCCGTGCAGTGTCGATTCGTCGCCGAGCCCAGCCGCAGCCAGGGATGAAAAGAAGCCGAGCCGCCAGCGCGAGAAAAGTGCAACCAATAATTTTATTTTCCGCGATAAAGCACGGCCTCTCTCCTCGGTGAGCGTTCCGGGGTGGCACGCCGGCGAAAAGGGGTGGAGGGCCGCGTATCTTTAGTAAGTAAACAGAGCGCCTTATGAATTTTAAGCAGCGCGACGAGGAAAGTACGACCTGCTTCTTCTTCTTCTTCTTCTTCTTCTTCTTCTTCTTCTTCTTCTTCTTTTTCCTCTTATTTGACCTTCTTTCTTTATTTTACATTTTCCTTGTCGTTCCGCTCGTGTTCTCGTTCACCTTCGTCATCCACCTCATCGCTTCCTCCCCTTTGACGCGGCGTAATTCGATGAAAAAGGGGCGAAAGTAGACACGTAAAAGTTGTTGCGAAAGTTTACAATTTGATTGAGAAACGAGAGGGTTATAATGCATATGTTTCTTTCGATCGTTGATCGAATGTATTAATTAGTTTTTGAAGGTTTAATCAATGTAATCAATGATACATTAATAGAGAAAGAATTTTACAAGATTTAATAATTGAATTATACAAAAACCAAAACAATTCTGTTGAAGTTAAATTAATTATAATGTTAACTTAAATATTAATAATATATTTTGGTATCAAGATCAATTTTGGCCATCTTGGCTTATAAATAATTTACAAATTAATACATTGCGTTTAACTAATGCGTTGAAAATTTTTGTATGTTTCAGACGTGCTGTCTAAGATGGAGTCTTCCATTTTCGGTTCTCGAGTAACACAACATATTTAGTCCACCATGAAGCATGTATACCGTGTGCAAACGATTAACAAGGTTGGAGAGAATCCTATCCCCCTTTGAGGTGAACGCAAAGTTTTCCTTAGAGGGGTGAAATCAAGCACGCGTGAAAAAATTCTGCGAAGAGGTCAGTCGTTACCTTCAGCAAACGGAACAAGAAGTTCACCTGGGCTAAAGATGGCGGATATCGTTTTTTCATTTATGACCACGTTTCGATGTCTTTAAACGAGACACTTTAGAGATTCCCATTTTAGAGATGCTCGATATAGTTTCGATCGATTTTATGAATCGTAAGAATTTTAAAAATTGTAAAATTCGTAGGTTCTCTAAAAATTTATTTATTTACATTTACAACAAAATGCTAAATTGAGCATTCGTTATTTACTTATCGGACTTATCATTAAAAAGTATAAATAATAATAACTTTTCTCTGCACCGATAATTCAAAGATTACTGTTCGAATATGCATCATCAACAACTAATTAATAACTTTTATAACAATTATAACGCTTCTTTCATCAAACAGTCAAATTCAAATTACATAAAATTTAATCATCGATCCACCACTCAAAACTCACCTTCCAAAACTCAATTCTTCTTTCCAATCTAAAAATAAAAACCATCCTGCAAGAAAGGAAAGCCATTGTAACGCGGCAAACATCGAATATCGCTCAACTCAAGACGAGTTTTCCGGGAAAACACGTCCTCGCTTCGGATTTTCCGTCAGAGTGGGCGGTCATGCGGCGTTGTTTTGATATTGATCTCCGGATACAACACCGTCTAAGCATTCTAATGGCAAGGGACGGGGATTCTGCGCGCTGCATGGCGCACGTGTTTCTAATGATTTTAGTGGTACCGAGGTCTACCTACCGGCGATATATAGTTATAGTCGGCTACGAACACGTATTACATCCACTCCGCCGGGGCACCGTGTAATATGTCGGAATTGCGGAAAGGGGTAACGCGGCCTGGAAGCCGGAGAGAGCCCGCGAGGATGGTCTTGCGGGATTCTTAATGGCGAAAGGCCTCTGAGGTAACACTACGGCTATTAAACGCAGACCTCGCTACTCTGTCTACCTTACTTCTCTCTCTCTCTCTCTCTCTTTTACTTCCTATATCCAGCTCTTTCTCTTTTCGTTTGCGACAAACGTATAGGGTGGTTTTCCGTTACGTTCACTGGAATGCAATGGTGTCGACGATGGAATGTTTTTTCGACGGATGATAAGGCATGGTAATTTTTATGGAAATATCGGGAGGATTTAAGGTATGAGGTATAAGGTAATAAATAAAAAGTAATAATTATTTTTGTAACGTTGTATTTATTGTAGTATTATATATACATTTATATTACATTTATTTAAGTGTTACATAATTATATACATTACATTATTGTGTATATAGTATATTACATATTTATTTGGTATTATATAAGTTAATTAAATGATATAGAAATGTGTAAATACTTACTTTTTTTAAAGAAGGAAGTTCTGATGATAAATAATCACTATCACTTTTGTGAATCTGTATTTAGGTTTATTATTCATGTAAAAAGAATTTGATTACGTTTTTCTGCGTTATTATTCCCCGCGCGAAATATCTTTAATACACTTATACGCTTATTGCGATTTATTTAGTTACTTTTCCTTGAATACATTTTTTAAAAATCTCTAAAAAATAAATAAGAATAAAAAGCATTAAATATTCATTTCTCCTCCAATTTCAGAATTAATTCAACATCTTACCTCTTAAACCGCGATTAAACGAGTTAAACATCAAAACTCGTAGGAACGGAGTAAAAATAATAAATCTAACGAACTTTCTTCGCGAAATCGTAACAATTAATTTCACCCCACCAAATCTATCTACCGTGCATAATCGCAATTAAACGATCACGCGAAAACCGGAAGAGAAACGGAATAAAAATAAGAAAAGATACACTGGAGTGAGTGGTAGACCCCGAACCAAGGATAAGTAACGAAAATGCAAAGCCCGGATCAACCGCGCTCATCCCCTTTGGCGTCGGCGTTTGACGCGACCGCTGAAATTTTTACTTCGTTCGATTTGGTCTTTCGGGGATTCCCCGCCCTCTGATTGGTGGACTCTGGCCACGCCCTGCACATAAGGGTGGCTTGCTCGCCGGAGCACTATCAACCCTTATATATGCCCGATGTGAGTACACTTATGTGCACGGGCGCATATATGTAACCGGTGCAGATTTCGCGCGTACATATATGTGCGCACGGGCCGGGGTACATAGGCGTAGGAAACCGTGTGTACACCGGGTGGGGCTCTCGCAGGACTGGGAGGCAGCCGACGGTGAACACTCGATACGACACGGTCGATCGAACCAGTCGTAATTTTAGTTATAGAAACTGTTGTATCTGAAAATAACGATGATCGTTATTATTATTTTTTTTTTCTTCTTCTTTTTCTTTTTCGCGCAACTCTCACGGGACTTGAGAGAAAAGGGATGGGATCGAAGGGAGACACTTGGCATCGAGTAAGTGTGAGAATTTTAGGTAGGTTTTTTTTTTAATTGGATAATTTTTATGTTTATATTTTTAAAATGATATATATTTATATATTGCTTTTTGATATTTAAAATTTAGATGAAAGCTTGTTTTTTGTTTAAAATATAAATTACGTAAGTATATAAGGATATATATATATATAAATATTTTACGAAGTTAATAAAAATATTATATCTTATATTAAAAATTAATCAATTTTCTTGTTTTCATGAATAAAAAATATAGAAAAATGATTTGAATATCGTCGGAATATTATTTGAAAAAAAAGAAACAGGGAAAGGAGTAGAATAAGGATTTTAAAGTTCAACGATACTGCGATAATTTAGTGACGAATGAAGGTCTATTTGAAATCTGATTAGCCTCACAAACGTCGACATTATTGCTTGTAATTAGTCGGTATTGAATAACGTAATCGGAATAAAAGGGGTGGATTCGTAAGTAACGGCGGAAATTGCACGATGTTTCAAGTATGACTTCGCATTAACGGCCTGGTACACGGAAAGGGAATTTACGTAATCTCGCAGAGTTGGATTGTTTTGCGCTACGAATTGAATAGAATAAGATGTCACTTCACCGGGAAGAGAATATTTTCATGCTGGGAATATTTTATACGAAATTTATGCCTCAGAGGGATAGACAGAGACGAGAGAAGGAACTTACGATGTCTACGTATAGATATTACTCTTTTACAACGGGACGAAGTAGAATAAGATGTCACCTCAAATTGTCTCGAGTGACTAAAATAGCTTTACGTTACAAACCTTAAAAGCAACGACAAAGAAGGAAGACGAAGGGGAGAATGTGCGAAATACACGCGGGAAACGGCGTTATACTAAATTCTCCTCTTTCGAAATGATATGTATTTCAAAATTAATTGCGTGCAAGTGCGAGCATCTTTCATGATGTATCGCAGTAACCCTGCTATTCACCTTCCTTTGAATTATTCTTACTTAATTATCTCGCGTACCTCGACAACCCATCGTATTCTTAAAGGGGAATTTTATTTGATGTCATATACGAATACGAATCTCTATTTGTACTTTTTATTTTTTTTAATCGTTTTAACAAATTACCAAGTTTTGATTTTTATATTAAATTTTGTATTTCCAAGTTAAAAAAATTTAAAAAGATTTTATTTTTATTTAAAATAATTTAATAATAAATGTTTAAATAATATTTATATAAAAATATATAACAAGTGTTTAAAATATAATAAAAGAAAATTGGATAATATTCTCTTTAGTATTGTAAAATAATAGAAGATAGTATAAGAACGATTGATGTTTTAGCGCTTCGTTTTTAAAGTTGAATTTCGCGGTAATCGAAATTTCGATATTCAATATAAACTTTTCGATTCAATATTTCGATAGTGCGGGAATATGTTCGAACATAGTTCTTCTTATATGCGAAGCGAGCGGTGCGGCGCTCGCGTCAGTACCGTGAACGCTTCAAAACAAAATCGTGTTCGGTGGAAAGTTTCTTCATTTGTGATTGAAATGATCGAGGAACACGACGAGCACGAAACAATATGCGACTCAGTGGTAAGTATTACGATGTACTGATCATGATTATATTAATAATTTTTCGTTGGGAAGTCGGTGATTACGAATATGTATATCTTATAAGATTCTAACCTTACTTTCAGAATTCGCTGGTGGAAGGCTGCCGTTTACCAGTCAGAATGCATGGAACGGATGATTGGCGTAAGTAAAGTGTTCATTTTTTATCAATTAATCCATATTTAAGAAATTTGTGATTTTTTTCTCAAAATCACGTATATGTTTTTGTATGACAAAACCATTTAATAAGTGTGTTATTGAATCGCATATTTCATAGACATACTAATATTTTTATTCATTAATATCGTTGCAATCATATTCTATAAGTCAGAAATGTATTTAATGAAGTATTGATATTCATTATCCATACATTTTGTTTAGTTCAACTTTTAGGTTATGTTTAGGTATCTTGGATGATAATAGTTTGTATGACATGCTGTCTTCTATTGTTTCTTGGGAGTCTATTATGATTCCACTTATTTAGGTGTAATAATAAAGGTTTATCAAAAATTTCCTTTTGTCATCCACAGCTCTTGCTGAAATCATCAGTGTTAAAGAAGTACATGGTGTCAAGTGTTATTATGTTCACTATGTAGATTGTAAGTATAACGCGAATTAAGAAGAGAGGTGTTACATATATGTACATAAACAACCGTTTAACTAAATGTACAATATTTTAGTCAATAAACGATTAGATGAATGGGTTACGGAAGATTGTTTGGACACTCGAAAAGTCCAATACCCTCGTCGAGATGGAACCACACCAGGAACTGGTGCAGCAACGCCAAAAAAACAAGTACCCAGTAGACCACCTAGCCCTAGTAGCCTTTGTAATGAACCAGTCAATGGTTCTGCAGTTTTGCAAGCTGCATTACAAAAGAAAATGTCTAGAAAAAGAAAGGCCACATTTATAGAAAATGATGATTCTCAGGATGGTCCACCGCAAACACCTGGTCCAAGGCCAACTGGTTCATTAGTGGCGCATCATCATGATGATATAGTTACTAGAATGAAAAATGTTGAACTGATAGAATTGGGTCGTCATAGAATAAGACCTTGGTATTTCAGTCCATATCCGCAAGAGATGGTACATTTACCATGTATATACATTTGTGAATTCTGTTTGAAATATAGAAAAAGTCGAAAATGTTTAGAGCGACATTTAGCAAAATGTAATTTAAGACATCCACCTGGCAATGAAATATATAGAAAAGGTTCAATATCATTTTTTGAAATTGACGGTAGAAAAAACAAAAATTACGCACAAAATCTATGTCTATTAGCAAAATTATTTTTGGATCATAAAACGCTATATTATGACACAGATCCATTCTTATTTTATATAATGACAAATTTTGATAGTAGAGGATACCATATAGTTGGTTACTTCTCGAAGGAGAAAGAATCGTCCGAAGATCACAATGTAGCTTGTATTCTTACACTGCCACCGTATCAAAGAAGGGGTTACGGAAAATTATTAATAGAATTTTCATACGAATTATCCAAATTCGAAGGTAAAACAGGTTCACCTGAAAAACCATTGTCGGATTTGGGATTATTATCTTATAGAAGTTATTGGGCTCATACTATATTGGACATTCTATTGAACGTAAAGCCATTAGTAGAAAATGAAAAACCTCAAATCACGATAAGTGAGATATGCGAGCTGACGTCGATTAAGAAAGAAGACGTGATATCGACGCTTCAAAATTTGAATCTTATTAATTACTACAAAGGACAATATATTGTGACATTGAATAGGTAATTGGCTAGTCTATGCGTCATTAAAGGAAACGAGTCGTGCAGACATTTAGCTTCTTTCCATACCGAGGATTTCTTCCACTACTTCACTGACAAAACATGTTTATTCACAGGGAGATTATCGAGCAACACACAGCCGCAATGGAAAAGAGGCAAATCAGAATAGATCCTAAGTGTCTTCATTGGACACCAAAAGACTGGAGTGTTAGGGCAAAATGGTGAAGTGGCATTCAAAATTGACAATAAGACTATGCTAATTTGTCTTAAAGTTGTTTTCAGGATTCCTGGAAGTGTGACTAATTGTACGTAAACTGTACATAATACATCGACCATTCGGTCTGCGTTTTTTAAATAAGACTGTATAAGGCTTTGCACGCGATGCCAATGGTCAAAAACGACAAAATGAAAAAAAAAAAAAAAAAAAAAGTGATAAACATTTTCACGAAAGCACTATGTACCTTAGTTACACAGCGCATCGATGAATCACAGTTAGCGATATTTGACGAGATAAGAAAGAAGTATTTCTGTTAAATATATGATACTGGCTTGCGTCTAGAGTCAGAAGCAATGTTTTAATATGGTGACTAGACTTTTTTAAAAATTCGCATACGTTCTTGCGATTAAACGATTTGTACAGGAAATATAAATCGGTCTTGTAGAATTGTAAATAAATCTGATTTTATAACGTGCGCCTCATTCTCTGCAAAAATACAAATGCGATCTAGTTTTAAAATACGTAATTTAATAGTATATCGAAGCTTCAAGCGGTGAAGCTTGCGCATAAAAATTCGTATATGTCCTTTTTGAAATTAATAAGCAAAAACTGATTAGTACAACGCAGAAGTTGTATGCACGCAAGTATTCGCACAATTGTGCACACACCTTGAAAAACACATATTAGATATTCCAATTTGCGTGTGCACGTATCATAGACGGATGGTAATCGAGAAATAATCGTTTAGAAAATAAAAATAAAAAACAAAAAAAAAAAAGAAAGGAAAAATAAATTGAAGAAAAGGAAAAAAAAAAAAAAAGACAAAGTATAGAAGGAGAAGAAGGAGATACGTTTAGAGTAATCGGATTCACTCGTAATCTCATCATATTCGACAAAGTATGAGCTTTTATTTGGCATTGTATTATCAATGGCTGTGTTTGAACTTGAAAAACACTCGAGCATAAATCATCCGTCTGAATCCGATTCAAGATTGTTCTACCAAAAAGAAGAGTTACCTATGAACTGCGAAATAAAAAATATTTTTCTCTGAAAAATGTGTATTTTTGATAGCGTTGAACTGATATCATTAGCCAACAGAACGAGCTGGAGGAGAAAGAAAAGATAAAAAGAATGAATAGAAACAGAAAGAATCTTCCAATTTGTTCTTTTTTATAAATATTTTCATTTCAATTTTTCTCATATTTCCACTTCCACAATACAATTAATACACAATCGTTGTTCAGCAAGAAGGTGTAAATAAGAAAACACTCCTCGTACAATTTTTAAATACAGCATCTTTCATGTATATATATATGTATATATATATATATATTTATATATATAATTTTTTTATATTCAACAGTAACATCACAGTAGCTTCATTACAATAAATTTTCTTTTTTTTCTTTTTTTTTTTTTTTTTTTTTTTTTTTTTTTTTTTTTTGTCATAATTTCATCTGTCTTTGTATTCGTTCCACCACGTCAACGTGACTCACGGCGAGTCCCGAATGTTCGCTAATTTTTACAAAAAGTTTCCTAGTAGATTCTTCGCGCGTCAGCAGTGGGGGAGGACAATGTGACAGAGGAATCTGTCGTGTGTACGATATGCACGTATTTACCACGCATACAACCAGAGGAATATTACAAACTTAGGATCGCAAATATTATTCGGATCCTCATCGTTCGTATTCTCCGAGAAAAAAAAAAAAATCATCACACATCTGATTTTTCTACACGAGAATATGAAATAATCGTAAATAACCATGAGTTCAGCGATATACGACGTGTTTCAAGAAAAATGCAGGAGGACAGGAATCCGAATGATATTGCTGACATAACACGAAGCACTGTGTCATAGTTGGAGATAGCGAACAAACGAAAAACGTATCACGGCGATTGTGATAGACGAATATAATATCGAATTGTCGAAGCGATCAAAACCTCTTACGATGATCGTATTGAAATACCAACCTCTCGGTTTCCTATAGGTATATTTAATATCTTATCTGAACGATAAAACGCATAATACCGATCATAAAACGCATTATATGAAACTTCTTCTTTTTTTCTTTTTTAACCTCTTGTTTCTTTTCTTCACACTCATAAAACACACACATATACATGTATATAATTTATATATGTAATATATTACACGCATACATAAAACACATGCATACCGAATCATTATCAGTGTCTGTTGATTGTATTCGTGTTCCGCAGACACAACGAGAGTATCCGGGTACTTGAGAAACACTTGATGAACATTAGGCGAGGACTCGGATACCCCGAGAACGCTATTTTTACTGGACCTGTAAAATTGTGAGTATTACAAAAAAAAAAAAAAAAAAAAAAAAAAAGAAAAAAGAAAAGAAAAGAAAAGAAAAAAATTTGAACGATACGCGAAACTTATGTAATGTATTTGGAATATTTAAATAAAGAATTGAGAAATCTAAAATGGGTGAGTTTATTTTTTTTAATGTTCCTTGGTTAAATTAATTTTTATTTAATAATTTTTATTTTATCATATTTTAAAGTAGAAATTTTGAAATTATTAGATTAATTATATATTTATAAAATAATAAGATAATAAATGATTGTATTAAATTTAAAAATAAATATTTTCTAGCTTTTTTGGATATTTCTGCGTGTACTCGAGCACTCGGTTAATCTTCATTCGATTCAGCGTGCATACTCCGGACCAGTGATATCATATATAGATGTAGAAATTGGCGGATAGATTTATAACAACAATAACAACAACAACAATGACAATGAAGATCCGAAGTCGACGAAAGTTGTCGACAAAAGTGAACAGCGAGTTTTTTTTTAACAGTGAATAGTGTTAGAACGATGACAATGAGAATTATTGTTAGATGACGGGATGTATTTAACCCTTTTGTACTTTTTAAAACTTATAATAATTATAAGTTTTAAAAATATATATAAAAAAAACATGCATAAAACTATTGATTAACTAATCGAATAATAAAATGATAACCTCGTTCCAAAATTTAATTATTTAATTATTTAATTCAAATATGTTTCTTCTTTTATTTATTTATCATAAATAATAAACATGTCTTTATTTTTTATATAAATTTCACATTATATAAATTTGAGTGAAACAAATTCCATTATTTTTAATCAATTTATCTTTAAAAAATTTTTCAATTCTCTGAAATATTGATGAAATCCAGTATCAAGTCTTAAAATCTTTTTCCATTTTTAGAAAATAGTAAAATTATAGAATGTATCGTTTCCAATTAAATATAAAAATTCGCTAATCAAAAAATTATTTAAAAAATGTCTTCATTTTTTTAAAAAAAATAGCAAAGACGATAAAATCGATCTTAACTAATTTATCTTCAAAAATCTTTAAATATCTTTAAATATCTTTAAACTCTTTTCGTTCCTCAAAATATCATAAAATTGATATGTATAATATTATTTAAAAACAGTCTTGCATCATCGAAATCTAGGATTTCGATACGATTTTCGAACGAGATGCTTTCTCCAAGTACAAAGGGGTTAAAATACCATCGTGCTGCGGTATGCAGCCCTCGTTACGATATTCCTCGCATAGGATAAGCGTTGTATCGTTATAAACACAACCCTCTTGCACGTCCATCACGCATTTCGTGATCGAATTCCGAACTTAAGAATTGGAATTCAAAACGCGACGTATTCGATACTCGCCGCAATCCGGATCGTGGTATCTTCGTCACGATAATTCTCGTCTTCCTGTGTTGCATTAGTTGTGCATGTGTGTGTACGTGTGAAGTGTGCGTGTATGTGTGTACCTCATATATGTATATATATTATATATTTATATACGAATATATATATATATGTATAGTTTCATTCATACACTCTGTCAATTTTCATTCTCTTTTGTTTGTCTAATTCTATCTCTTCTTCCTCATATCTCTGTTTCATTCATCTTTTTATCTTCTTTTATGATTTATGAATACTTCTACAGTGTTGAACAGTAGTCGGCAATGGCTGGACAGAATCGCTTTCGATGAAAATATCTTTTTCTCTCTTTTCTTCTCATCGAGATTCGAACCATTTTTCTACGAGGTATCGTTTCGCTTCTTTCTTTTATCTTTCTGATTTTTCTAATCTTTTGGATAGATTTTCATCCTCTTTCAAGATATTTGTTCCTATCTCGCGATGTGCATCGAACAACGTAACTAGGACTGTCGTGTCGAGCATAGAAAAAAAATTCGCTTTTTGTACATCAGTGCACGCATATCGCAGAGAATATGCCCTGTATGGAGGCATAAGTTTTTACTTGACCCATTGGCTAGTATTTTTTTAAGAAATATCTTAAAAAATTAAAATATTTATCTTGGATAATACATTTTTTTTTTTTTTCGATTGAAAGATTTAGTAGATTTAGTACAAAATAAACTTATGAATTTTGTGAATTAGAGGATTAAATTAAAATTAAAGAGTTTTTATTTAGTTAAATAATAGAAACACGTATTTATGAGTCTGTATTTAAATTATGCCTCCATGTTTTTCGTCACATTGTGACAAATGATCTCCCCAGTATTTCTCGAAAAACCAGGAACAATTGATATATCGATACTGCGATCAATCGATTACACTTCGATCACACACTAAAACATCTACACTTACACACTGAGTTAACAGAATTACACGAGTTACACTTTGCCCATGATCTTTTTTTTAATAAATTTACTTTTGTATACTCATAATACAAATATTCCTTTAGGGGAAATTTTTTATATTCATCGTGGACATGGTGTATCGTGGAAATTCTGTTATTTTTCGCACTTACGAAGATGAACGACAACGTGAGAGCATAGCGACGTTTAGAAATTTAGACGTTGATCTTGTCACTTTTGAGCCAGTTTTTTTTTTTTTTTGCTTTTTTCGAATCGTAACCCTTTATTGTAATAATAGAAAATAATTTATAATTCGTTTTTTTTTCAAATTTAAAAAAAAACAATTATCATTACTATTTATTCGATCAGCTTTATAATTTACTTTTTTGAAAAATTTAGTATCTTTTTAAGGAATAATGTTTCATAAAGATCAAAATGATAGAAATTCTAATTTTTAACATTCTAATTTTTTAAAAATTTTCTTTTTCATCAAACAAATCTCAATCTTGAAAAATTTTTGCCATCTTCTCAGGGTCACGGTTCACAGATTGAAAATCTGGATTGCAGACGATCGCGAAGAAACGCGTCATATATTTGTAATTAACACGCTATCTGTGGAACAGATATTCTTTCTATTATTTCTTTTCATCAACAATGATCTGAGAATCACGTAATTCCACGCACAACGAGCTGTGAATCACAGAGTGTTGAATTTGTTTTTCTTTAACATTGTATATGGCGGGACATGCAGCGTTTCGATTGTATCGACCAGCGATTCACTGCAAGTCTCGTATATGTATATGTATAATAATCTCGTAATATATAATAATTCACGTGTATCGACCAGCGATTAATTGCGCATCGTGTAGTTATATATAATATGCTTATGACTATCAGTGATAAACCACGGATTTAAAGCAGTATCACACAGCTTCCCGAGGATTTATGCTAAATATATACGGTATACATTATTCATTTATAGCAACACGTAATATTACATTTATTTGGCAAACGAGGAACCACGTGGCGTTACGTTATTCCAGATCACTGTTCAATGTGACAATTACGTGGACAGTCATGTGTTGTTGGATAATGAGCAATAAATTTCGACTCATCGATCGTTACTCTCTTTTAGAAAATTGTAAAATTTGGACCTTTAAAAATTTTTAAATCTTGTCAATTAAAAATATTATAGCAGTGCATTGTTTTCACATTCATTTCAATAGAATTATCTAAATGATTAATGAATTTTTAGTAAATTTATTAACTGGAAGTTCTGGATTATTAAAAATTTCTAAATCTTATAAATTATATTCAGATTGATAGAAATGCATATATATAAAATTATTTAAAAAAATTGCATATATATAAAATATATATAAAATTATAATAAATTAAAAAAACTTCAAATGATAATGATAATTGATGATCTATTCTAATGATAAATTTTACATAGACATTGCAACGAGGATGTATCGAATGATCTTGAATAATCTTTACATCTTGAAATTAAAAATTTTGTAATTGTCAGAAAGAATTCAAAAATGTCGTTCAACAGATAGCATATTGAATTCAATACACATCGAGTTTCACGACCAGGATCGAGACATAAACAAAATAATCGCCGCGATCAAATGTATTTACATTGTTGAACGCGTGACAGATCATCGTCCACCGACACGATTTCAATTTTACAAACGTTCACGTTTACAATACGACACGTGTTTTTTTTTTTTTAAATATATATGTAATATACTTTTTTTTTTGCATTTTTTTCTTTTCCTAGCTTGTTTTACAGCTACACATACGGTTGCATATTTAGTTAGCTTATTTTAATTATCAACCCTCTCTCTTTCTCTCTGACGTCTCTGCTCGTACATCATTTACATATTATAATATGTATGTATTTGTACCTCTCGAATTTTTTCTACGATTCTGTTAAAAAATATTACAAAATGCCCTCTCTTCTCTGTCAACCGTGTTCCTCGATCAATAATTGGATCGATTTTTCGATAAATGTGTGATAGAGTTCATAGAATTTGATGTGCTTCTTTTCTCATGTGGTCACAGGGACGTATTTTACAATCGATTTCTCAATGATTTTTTTCGTTTTCTATGTGAAAAAAAATGATCTACTTTCGTCCAGCCGCTTGCCTGAACAATAAGACACTTAACAGTTGGACGATCCCCGCGAATCGACGAGTATTTCATTTTTTATCCTCTTTTATCAACTTTCTTTCTCTTTTTTTCCCTTTTTTATTTTTTCTTTTTCTTTTTCCTCTTTTCTTTCCCATCTCTTGAACAATATTTCTCGATGATACACGTCTGCGTATAACAAAAAGAATACACGTGAGAGAGGGATTGGAAAAAAATTGTCGAGTCGTGATCGTGTAAAAAATATCTTCATTCTCTTGAAATTTACGGAGGGAGGAGTTGAATCGAGGACAATTCGAGAAGCGAGAGCGAAAGCGAAACGGGGACAGAGTTAGGAGGACGAAAATCAGCCTCTTCAGCGTGTATTGTAAAATCGCGCGTATTTTTTTTTTTTTTTTTTCTTTTTTTTTTTTCCTTTTTTTTTCGTGTGTATTTGTATGTGTGTATGCGTGTGCGTGTATATCTTTTTATTATTTTCATTTCACTCGTGAAAATGCAGTCAATGAGACTCGGGAATCAGGCCAGAATTAATTATCGAACGATCGTTCAGCGAAACAATATTCTTAATTTTTTTATTTGAAAAGTCAATAAGTGTAGCGTGATATGAAAATCGAACGGAGAAATTTTGCCTCTTCTTTTTATTATTTACTTATTTATTTAAAAAACGAGAAATATATCTGTTAAAAAGGAAAATTTCTCCTTTTTCTTTCTCTCTCTTTATATTATTTTCTTGTGTATATTATCTTTTCGCCTAGCCTGTTCCCGTGAATTTTAGAATATCTGCCTTAGAGTATTTTGAAGATACAAAAACTACGATAGAAAACAGAACAGACTTCGAATATTTTTGTTCCAGTTTTTTTTTTTTTTTTTTCTTTTTCTCCTTATTCTTCCTCATTTTTTTAATTTCACACTCAACATCAACGTCGTATATTATTATTTTTATCCCATTTTTTTTTAAAATTATTACTATTATTATTTCTCTTATCATTATTTATTAATATTATTGTTATCATTAGTGTCATTCTTACATCTACATATATATATATATACATACACAACATGTGTTATGTATGTATATACACAATTTAATTTCACTCGAGCTCTGTTATCAAGAATTTAATCATCGTTACTTTTATATCGTATTATATTAATAGCATTTCTCTTTCTTCAATTTTTTTTTCTTTTTTTTCTTTCTTTTTAATATTGATTTTTCTTTGCTTTTATTATACAGATTGTCATGGTCGGCATCGCATTGCCGTCGATTTTTTTTCAGCCTGTTATTCTTACTTTTATAAATCTATCGCCTTTCATTCTTTTTTTTTTTTTTTTTTTTTTTTTTTTTTTTTTTTTCTATTTCCTTTCCATTCGACAAAATTTCGATAAATAAATAACCATGGCTGAGATTTTACTTTCAATATCATTCGCTTTATTTATTCTTCTCATTTTTATTTCTATAATATGAAATTTGTGCAGTTTTTCTTACGTTAAATTAAATTTCTCAATCGATCAAATATCTTTTCTTCGTTTTCTTTTTTCGTCTATAATAGTCACGATCAATATGAATATCCATTCCATTCTTTTATTTTTTAAGACTTTTCCCTTTGATCAATATCTATCGATTCTATAATTATATTAACAACCGGTTGTTCGAAACGTGTTTCCATAGGAAGAACAATTTATTGAAGATCTTTGAAAAATGATCGTCTATGAGATCCATCATCGATCCTTGGCACGATCAATTCGATCCTCCTTCACACGATGTTTCAATGAAGTAATAACTCTTGGATGAGATATTTCTTTTTACTTTTTGTTGACCACCCTTATTTATCGAAGAACTAGTAGTAGTTAGAGTCTACTTTCCTCAGGTACGTATTGTTCCTTTCATTTTAATAAGGGTGAAGAGAGGTAAAAAGGGCTGTTGAATTAATACACTATGCACGATATTTTTTTTAGAGGCCACAGTCGAAACTCTCCTGGTTTTGCACTTTTTCCTTGTAATCTTCCAAGTAACTATCGACGTTCCTGAAGATGCCAGAGTTTGCTTGATACATCAACGTTTCGAGAATTCTCTCGTTTTTGATCGCTTTCGATGGCAGAACGATCTGAAAGATATAGACGTAAGAAATCAGTTCTGTTATATTATTTTATTTCTCTCAAGTTTTAATTTCAATTCCTTTTCGAGCTTAATAATGAATATTCTAAGATTTTTTTTTAGAAAGAAGTGATAAAAAAAGAAAGAAATATTAGATAATCAAATCCAAATTCTTTTCTTTCATTGTCACAATAATAGAATTCAATATTATTTCTAATTTACTTATATTAAAAATTATAAAAAAAATATATTTGACCTTTAGTGAATTAACATTCTCACCCTGATAAGTTCCTGTGGTGTTATCCTATGCAGTTTCAAATCTCTACTTAGTCTGTCCATGATACGCTTGAATTCCACTTTCGGATCGACTTTGGTCGATTTTCTATCTTTAATCCTGTTCTTCGCCCACTCGAGCATCGCCTCGAATTTTCTAATCTCGCCAACTTCGAGACCTCTGCACATGATCATTTGAACCATCGACTCGCTCAGTGTCAAGAAATCAGGTGATTGGAACAGTTGATACGCTCTGGTTTCGATGAAAGCGAGGATCATGTTGACCAATTCTGAGGCGGACGTGTAACGCCAGCAATAATTCTCCAACGCGCTCAGCATCACGCATACGATCTCGATCCGTAAGAATTGTTTTGCATGGTGGAAACACGCTTGTAGAAGCTCAGGTAGATCGTAGTGTTCCGCTGCACAGATGAGACCCGGTATGTTGCTGCAAGTCAGTGGACAGGAGCCAGTTTGCAGATAATTGAGCAGGATTTTGAACGTCTTTGGATCGAACTCGATGATGTCGAACTGTATGAACGAGAAAAATTTACAATATAAAATATATATAATAATTTTATAATATTAAAATATATAAAATGTTATTCTATATAAAAAGTGTTGGAAATAGTTTGTAAAATTACAAAATTAAAATAATGAATTTTTAAGATGTATTAGAAAAATATTGAATAACATTTATATAAATCAAAAGTTTCATTTATGAATTTTGTTGTAATATAAAATGTATATGAATATAATTTAACAGAATGTTTTTTTACAGATATTTTAATTATTTTATTACATATTTGTGATGTGTGTATAGTTATCAACGGCAAAAGCTGAATCATTATTTTTTTTTTTGTATATTATTATTTACATGTAGAAAATTCTTGGAAAAGAAACGTTTAGAATCAGAAGAGTTACGACGAATTTTCAAGAATTTCAATCTCTATTAATTATTATATCATTTTATTTGCATATTTTCACATGTATCATTGTTTTTATATATTTTATGCATATTTTATATATATTTTTGTATTTTTTTTATAGTTGATAGATTTATAATAATAGCAGAAAGTTAAATATGTACAAGATAAGTACAAAACAGGTAAGTATATCAAATTTTATAATTTTTCTTTGCATGAAATTTTTATAATATTTTATAATAGAAGATTTATTGAATTCTTTTTAGAGAACAATGGACAATATTGCATAATATTATTGAATATTAAATTAATTGTTACAAATTATAGATTATTCCAAAAGTATGTATATTTATGATTTATTTTTCAATTCTAGTTTTCATTTTATAATTACAGAATTGTTTATGAAATATTTAAACAATTTTTATACTTAAAAAGAATTAAAAATATTTTTTTCAAATATCCAAAATTATCAAATGTTAATAGAAATTATGTTTCCAGCAAAATATTAAAATAAAGATATTAAATTTCCTTCTTTTTAATTGAAAGATTGTGGGACGAATTATAGATTTCGTTTTATAGAGAAATAAAATTAAATAACAAAATTTTTGAACCAGTTACGTTCAACACATTTTAAATTTGGAGTTTCATAAAAACAAGGAAATAGTCGATTTTTAAGAAATTTAATTTTAAATTTTTCTATGTTTTTATCATTTGTATAAACTTCAAAATAATAATTAACTTGCTCGATAAAGCAATCGAGACTTAAATATAATTTGTATCAAGAGATTCAATCATTATGCATTATAATTTCGAGGATTTTATACGTAATATTTTATCAATTTTAATAATATCTCATCTAATGTTATTAGTTTGAATATTTCATATAATAATCTTAAGATATAGATATATGTAATTGTTTTTTATATATTTTATATTCTTATTTCAAATATATTTTACTTTTTTTTTTACAGTTACTGGATAATAATATGATAAAGAAATAAATATAGAAAGGGTAAGTTAAATTTATAAATTTATAAATATAATTAGATATAAGTAAAGTATTGTAAAAAAGATTTGTTTCAGAAAATATAGTAGACTAAAAAGGTAAGTATCAGGAAAATATAAGGTAAGCATATCAAATTTTATAACTAGATATAAGTAAACTGTTGAAAAAAACATTTGTTCCTGAAAATAATAGCAGATTAAAAAGGTAAGTATAAGGTAAGTATAAGGTAAGTATATTACATTTTTAGAAATTTTTATCATCTTTCAAATTATATTTTACTCATGAAAAATTTCAAAATTTTCGAAAATTTAGAGTTCTGGCGCTAAAATTTCGGTTTGTTTACAAACATTGGTCTGTTTATTTACATTTTCAATGTTTATTTACATTCTCGGTTTGTTTATTTACATTTCCAATGTTTATTTACAAAAATTTTCGAAAATTTAGAGCTTTGGCGCTAAAATTTCGGTTTGTTTATAAACATTGCTTTGTTTATTTACGTTTTCAATGTTTATTTACATTCTCGGTTTGTTTATTTACATTTCCAATGTTTATTTACAAAAATTTTCGAAAATTTAGAGCTCTGGCGCTAAAATTTCGGTTTGTTTATAAACATTGGTTTGTTTATTTACATTTTCGGTTTGTTTATTTACATTTTCAATGTTTATTTACATTCTCGGTTTGTTTATTTACATTTCCAATGTTTATTTACAAAAATTTTCGAAAATTTAGAGCTCTGGCGCTAAAATTTCGGTTTGTTTACAAACATTGGTTTGTTTATTTACATTTTCAATGTTTATTTACATTCTCGGTTTGTTTATTTACATTTCCAATGTTTATTTACAAAAATTTTTCGAAATTTTCGAAAATTTTCAAAAATTATTTGTAAAATACTTACCTTTACTTACCTTCTATTTACTTACCTTTTTACAGCTACTTTTTTGTATTATATATTTTTCAACAGTTTCCTTAATTCTATATACTTACCTTTACTTACCTTTACTTACCTTTTTATAGCTACTTTTTTTATTGTGTAGTTTTCAACAGTTTCCTTAATACTATATATTTACCTTTACTCACCTTTACTTACCTTTTTACAGCTACTTTTTAAAGTACTTTTCAACTGTTTCCTTAATTTTAGATATACTTATCTTTACTTACCTTTTTACTTACTTTTTTACAGCGGTCTTTTCCGGCATTAATTTTTCAACAATTCTCTTAAATTTACATACTGTCTTTATATATATTATTTTGAATATCTCGTTTATTTTTCATAATATTAAAAAACGTTTCAGATAAAAGTTAAATGGTTTCGAAAGGGAGATATTCTTATAATCTTAATTTTTCCATATGTTGATCCATAGAAGATTTATGAACGTTAATGTTGATTTTTTAAATAGAATTTTAGATTCTTTAATGCTTCAATAAATGCATCTTATCATTCTCTATAAAAAAAAGTATTAAATCCCATATAGCAAATAACTCAGTAGTTTAAAAAATAATTTAATTTGATTAAATATTTTTTAAACTTTTAATGGTTTTATGCTATGAATGCCTTAATACTTTTTTATAAAGAATATCGTGTTGCATTTATTAGTTCATTGAAAGATATATAATTCTAATTAAAGAAACAATGTTAATTTCCATAAGGCTTCAATGCGTCCATTTGTGAAAAAATTAAAGAAAACAACATATCTCTATTCAAATCATATAACTTTTATCTCATTTTTTAATATCTCATTATGAAATATTAATGAGATATTAAAATAATAACCCATCCTATATTTCCCTCAATCCCTTAGAATTAAGTAAACTGTTAAAAAATGATTAATTCCTAGAGAATATGATATAAAAGGTAAGTACAAGAGGGTAAGTAAAAAAGGTAAGTATAAAACTTGTGCCACCTCCTATTAATTTATATTCTCCTAATACAATGTTAAAAATTCGACAAGAAATTTTTAATACTCGAAAATTGGACTTTGTATTAGGAGAGCATAATACTACAGGAGGTCGTTCGAAAAATACTTCCAAGAATTTTGACAATTCTTAGAAATGATGTCAAATACTTGGAAATTTCTAAATATTCGAACCAACGAAACATTTGGCCGAAAAGTCGACTTTGTATTAGGAGAACATGATATAATAGGAGGTCGATCGAAAAATTTTTCCAAGAAATGACGTCAAATTCTCGGAATTTCTAAAATTCTTGGAAACCAGGTCGACTTCTTAGAATTTCTAAACTTCTTGGAAATGACGTCAAATTCTTGGAAATTTCCAAATATTCGAACCAACCAAACATTTGGCCGAAAAGTCGACTTTGTATTAGGAGAACATGATACAATAGGAGGTCGATCGAAAAATTTTTCCAGGAAATGATGTCAAATTCTCGGAATCTCTAAAATTCTTGGAAACGAGGTCGACTTCTTAGAATTTCTAAATTTCTTGGAAATGACGTCAAATTCTTGAAAATTTCCGATTGCTCGAACAATAGAAGGTTACCTTTGGCCAAATATTCGATTTTCTACTAGGAGAACATAATTTAAAAGGAGTTTTTTCACATTTATCGTATATTTACCGTTCTCCTGCTTACTTTTTTACCATTTCCTCTTATCGTAGCCGATTTTTTAGAGCTTTAAAACGTTATTTTTCCCAATTTAAATATAAATTTAGACTTCTACTGCTAGTACACTTATCTCCACCTACTTTTGGTGCGTTTTTTATCATTTTTTTAAATTTTTTAAGAATTCGAGGATTCTTTGAGCACTGTACTTTTATTATTGGGAATGAACCGATTGTTTTTAATGATCTATTGCATAATATAATGCACTGGGTGTTCGATTAATATTATCTGGAATATCTCGCTTGTTTTTGGGAATATTAAAAAATGTTTGAAATAAAAGTTGAAGGATTTCGTGGGAGGTACATCCCTTTGCTATTTGTTTTTTCAAATATAGAAGCGTAAAGGATTTATGAGAGTGAATGTTGTTTCTTTAAATGGAAACATACTCTTTTTAATATTCCAGCTGATGTATCTTGGCATTGTCTGTAAAAAATTATTAAGGCATACATAGCAAAAAATTTATAGTTTAAAAAATAGTTAAATTTAATTAAATATCTTTTAAACTAATGATTTTTTGCTATATATGGCTTAGTAATTTTTTATAGAGAATAGCACGATACATCGATTGGTCCATTAAAAATTGTACGATTGCATTTAATGAAATAAAATTGACGTCGAGAACTTTTTTATGAGTCCATCTACGAAAAAACTGAGGGCACCAGAAGATAATCCTTTCGAAACCATTCAACTTTTATTTCAAGCATTTTTTAATATTATAAATAGTAAACGAGATATTCGAGAAAAAAGAATAAGATCGAAAATCGCTGAGCGATAGAAAAATTTTTGTCCAAAAAGTCGACTTTGTATTAGGAGAACATGATATAATAGGAGGTCGATCGAAAAATTTTTCCAAGAAATGACGTCAAATTCTCGGAATTTCTAAAATTCTTGGAAATCAGGTCGACTTCTTAGAATTTCTACATTTCTTGGAAATGACGTCAAATTCTTGGAAATTTCTAAATATTCGAACCAACCAAATATTTGACCGAAAAGTCGACTTTGTATTAGGAGAACATGATACAATAGGAGGTCGATCGAAAAATTTTTCCAAGAAATGACGTCAAATTCTCGGAATCTCTAAAATTCTTGGAAACGAGGTCGACTTCTTAGAATTTCTAAATTTCTTGGAAATGACGTCAAATTCTTGGAAATTTCCGATTGCTCGAACAATAGAAGGTTACCTTTGGCCAAATATTCGATTTTCTACTAGGAGAACATAATTTAAAAGCAGTTTTTTCAAATTTATCGTATATTTACCGTTCTCCTACTTACTTTTTTACCATTTCCTCTTATCGTAGCCGATTTTTTAGAGCTTCAAAACGTTGTTTTTCCCAATTTAAATATAAATTTAGATTTCTACTGCTAATACACTTATCTCCACTTACTTTTGGTGCGTTTTTTATCATTTTTTTAATTTTTTAAGAATTCGAGGATACTTTGTATTTTTATTATTGGGAATGAACCGATTGTTTTTATTGACCGATTGGATAATAAAATTTTTTTCTCCAATTTGTTTATCCGGATAATCTTTAACATATTTACGCTTGCTACAAACAAACACTTAATATGATTATTATCTTACCTGATATACGAAATAATTGCTGATTGTCGTGCATTTGAACAATTAATGCGTAACCGTTTGCATGCACTGTCATGTATGTACATTTATAAAAAAAAATCAATAATGTGATTTTATAACATATATAATTGAAGCCAATAATATTAACTGAGAGAGCGGCTAAGTTACAGATTCATCAATATTTATATTAGTTTATTATTGTTTATCAAATTTACCTCTGTCTGTGCCAATTTCGCTCTGTCAACTTTTTGCGCATCTGCACAAACACTTAGCCTTGGCACCGCTAATTGTTGTGCAGCTTTCTCCTTTTCCTTCGCCTCTTTATCTGTAAATATAATGTAAATAAATTTGTCTGGAACGAGATTTATCTCAATATCCGTTTAAAATTTAAAAAAGAAGAATTAATCCATGTTAATTCTTCAAATTAATATCTCATAGAGTTAGTTATCTGCTATTATTAAAAATTGAGCTTCTATTGCAATAAAAATCTAAATCTAAATAATAATGATACTATACTTACTGCTGCAATCCTGTGAACTAGCCCAACGTTTTCGATCCTCGGATTGCAAAGTGTTTCCGCTCCCGTGTTTTTTGATGCTCCTTCCCCAGCCTGCAGTGATCGTGCCGAGCCTCGAGAACGCCCGCTTCATCATCGGTGACGAGGGCACGCTTTTAGGTCTAAACAAGTCAGAGCCAGTATCTCACAGAAACCGCAGAGCGGCACCTCAGGATACGGAGAGGAAATTCTTCTTGAGAGGGAAAGATCATCGAGTTCGGAACAAATTGGATCCATGATGGAACGTTCGAGGGATGGAATTATTTATTTTTTTTCCAAAGGTTTGATCGGGTTTAAGTGGACGTTCCTGAACGCATCGAATAATAGCAGTAAAAATGTACATTACGAGACAACGACGAAAGCTCGTCTCCTTCGTTCGCAAAAATTGGAGAATGCCAATATAGAGAATATAGAGAAACCGAGCAGAGACAAGATTAAGAGATAATAAATTCAATTAATTCGTTCTCGAACGTGTTTACCGCATGCCTATATAGCCAGATCGTATGCCATAATCGTTTGTAAATAAATTTTTAAGATATCGAACATGTTTTTAACCCTTTGCGGACGAAACAATTGGAAGAAACAACAAACATTAACTCATATCACTTTTATATAATTATCTGTGTACTAAAAAATACAAAATATATTATATTTTATATATATCAATTAATTATAACTGTATTTACGTAAGTAGAAATGATTGTTCAATAATAGAAACTAACTGTTCAAGCACTATAAAATTTTCTGTATAAAGTTTTATTATCTCAAAAATTCATCAAACAGTTATGAAAACAAAGCGAAGAATTTTGATTTTCTTTTCTTTTTTTTAAATACTTCTATTTACACTAATAAAAACGATCAATATCTAATATAGATGAATATAATAATAGATGAATTTGAAAATTCTATTTGCGAGTACATTCGCCAGCAAAGGGTTAAAATTGAGAGAAAAACCGAGAATTCGAGAGATAGAAGGCAAACAGAGCACGCACGGCAAAGGAAAATGAAATAAAATATAAAGAAGAAAAAGGAAGAGAAAAAGAAAAAAAAAAGGAAAATCGACACGTCTATCACGACCGAAGCTAATAAGATAGATATATATTAATAATAATTAGCATGGCTGGTGTGATAAGTTCGATAGTTATTCTTGCAGTGCTTTTTTCAACGTTTTCAATTCGTTTTCAAATTATAATTTCGAATAATTAAACATGCTACACAATATAATCATTCAAAAGACAAGGAAAATATAAGACACCGGATTTCAACTATATCTTGCATCGCAAAAAATTCAATTTGCGTATATAATATAGAATATAATACGGAAATTTTGTCAAAAGTGAAAATACTTATATAATCACATGCGGTGCTGTGTGTAATTGTTTGTATATGCACGTGTATACAAGTGTGTAAGTGTGTGTACGTGTGTGAGGATAGGAGACATGGAAGTGCCGTAAAAAATACACATAATTACGATTAAATGTACGATATATAATATATAATATAAAGATAAATATATATAAAATTACATTCGACAACGACATCAAAGGCAAGTTGAATCTCACCGTTACTTCCGGCTTTTTTTTACTTGCTAAATAAATCCAGTTATATCCTTATCTTAGTCCATTTACATTAACCCATTTCTTTCGTGGATTAATTATGCAAAAAATTCGAAAATCGAAAATAAAATAAAATAGAAATGTTAAGATAGGATAGGATTGTGATAAGGATTCGTGTATGTATTTGTTTCCATGCAAGTCCTTTTTGATTAAAACGAAAATATTTTACTAGTTAATATTCTGTAAAAAAGATTTTATTTAATCAGGGGAGGATAGGAATGAAATAAATATTTTAACACAGAAAAGGAAAGTTGAAAATAAAAGAGAAGAAAAAATACAACTGATTGATTCTTTAATTTACAAAAAATAATATAAACAATATAAATTATAATAATATAATATAATAAAATGATACAATATAACAATATAATAAAACTATATTACTAATTACATTAATATTAACATAAAAATAAATATTACAAAATCTAATACATATAATTTAATTAATATATTGTTAAATTTAAATTACATATAATATTATAATGTAATGTTGTATTTATAAAAAAAATAAAAATTGTACAAAAAAAAAAAGGAATAATTTTCTTTATAATTAGAAAAAAATGGATTAATGAATACATTGCGTCTGAATTATATAATTGTCAATAAATATTTTTATTTGTTGCATATGTATTAATTAACCTTGATATATATTGATATATAAACTGGATTTGAAAATAAAAATGCACAATTCTAATTAACAAAAGTAATTCGCAAGATACAAACCTTGGACTTTCCACGTCAGGAACCTGAAGAAAGTTTGAACTTCTTGGTTTCTGTGGACTGAATAATGTGGGCACTGGCCTAGCAAGTAATTCGGCAACCGGTACTTGTGGACTTCCAAAACCAGCTTGAATTCCATACAACATTTCTTGGAAGACTCTAGAACAAATTTAAAAAAATCAGTAATTTTATACGATCTTATTCAAACGTCAATTTATTATTTGTATTTTTGGTATATTTAATTTTTAAATAAGAGTTTCAAAAATTTAAGACATTATTATAAAAATAGTAATAAAGTAATAGTAATAACAGTGAAATGAATAAAAAAAAAATGAAATAGAATTTTGTGAAAAGAAATTTATTTTGATATCAATTTTACATATATTTGAAAATTATTTACATTAATAACAACAATATAATTTAATTTCTTGATTGCAGATCCAGTACCTGCTTCTGACCGCCAAAATCGCTCTAACACCGAAGAATCGAACTTTCTGCTTCTGTGGACCATGCACCAAGAACGAAATGTCGAACAGATTCGTATTTAACGTGGCATTCTCTTGATCGTTCAAGAACACTTTAGTGAAGTCCTTGGCAAGTTGGTCTGGATCCTCGAATTGATCCCTGACTGAATCCAAAAGCGGCGAAGATGGCCTCATGTGTCCTATTGGTCTCCATGAACCACGCCTAAAAAAAAGAAAAAAAATAACAATGTCAATTGTAATAATTGTATTAATTGTAAAATTGTATATAATTTAAATAAAATGTAATGCAAAGTAAAAAAACCAATCAGCGTTTAATTTATCCTTATCCTTATTAATTTTTATTTTTTTACTCACCTGTACGGTTTTGGAATTTGGCCAGTTTCTGCGTGATTGGCCAAGTTAGCTACAATATCTTCCAACATTTGAGTCCTCGTTCTCTCTTGCATCTTTGCGAATTTTGGCGCGGAATAACTCGCTCTCTCTCCGTTGACAATCTTTGTCAATAACCACTCACGAAACATGGGACCTATATATATATATATTAATATCTTGTAGAAATCACAAGCCTAACTATATTCATACATTTTTGCAAATTAAGATTTCTTGATAGAATGTGTAGGAAATATTGTTTACCCTTTTTAAACACATTTTGTTCCCAAAGATAAGGTTTGTATGCTCCAACTTCGTCCCTCGTAGCGACGGATACTTCGTATCTGGTAACTTTCCTTTTTATCCGTGGACTGACTCGAACCAGAATAAACGTGTAGAGGAAATGCGACTTCATACAAGCTGGATTAAACGACGTCTTGTCAGCCTCCAAGAACACGACGCACACTATATCGTTTCCTATGTGTCGTTTCTTTTGCACCTAAAAAAAAAAAAAAAAAAAACTATTATTACCATTATCTTGAAAAATTAATTAAATTAATTAAATAAATTAATTAATTAAATTAATAAATATCAAAGAGGACAGATCGATTTAATTGACAGAGGCATAGTAGATACAATAATGAAAATATCGATTATTTATCGATGAAAATTAGTTACGTTAATCGGAAATGAATATGTTGGAGAAAAGAATTTTTCTTTACCCTCTGTACGTCGTGTTTCTCATTGGGGAGAAAGGTGGACACGTGGTACATGATCTCGATCCCTCGCCAATTGGTGTAGACCGAGTACAATCCGGTCAGATCATGAATCGTATCCAATCCACCCTTGTACTTGTCGAAACCCTTCAGACGAATTTTATCGCCGAGAATCTGCAGGAACTCGTCGAACAATGGCGAATTCTCGTGATTATCCAATATCTCTTCCTCTGTGCATTGATTCTCTTGAACGTAAAGAACCCCGACTTTCAGCTCCGATTTTATGAACACCTGATCCAGCTTCAGAAGCTCGTCCTGGGTGTCAGGTAATTGGCCCAACGTTAACGGTGGATTCACGTTCACCTCTTTGCCTAAACTACGCACCACTTCCTCTCGATTGTACCTGAAAAACGAGAATGAAAAATAATTTTCGTAACACGAAAACGATCGATTTATATTTTCAAAAAGAAGAGATTTCGAAAAGTGAGGGAGATTTACCTGATTTGAAATTTAATTTTTTTTTTTTTCTTCAATTTTTGTAGAATTTTCATAATTTGTATTATTTTTTTTAATCGTTGATAAATCTTTAAAAAAAGAAAACGTAATATTACGTAATCAGCATATTGTCAATGCATCAACAGATTTAGATTTTATTTGATTTCACTCCGATTGATTACAGCGTAACATTTCTAAATGAAAATAAAAGCAATTCTGTGTTACAGAGAAATCTGTGTTGTCTTTCACTAAATGATTTCTAAAAGCGTATATATGTTTCATATAAGTATGTGCTCCTCGTAGCAATAAAGTTAACTATTTGTTATTTGTGCAGCAAATAGCATTTTATGATTCTTTCAATTGGAATATAATAAATTTGTAATATTCTCAAAAGTAATTTAAAACATATCTTCCTATCCAAAGACACAAAATTTGCATTATCCCATTTCATTTCGAAATATAAAACAACTTTTCTCTTAATCCCATTTACTTAAACGATATTAATATCTCTAGAGAGAGTTAGGATATAACCATTCTTTACTCTCACTTTTAACTGTGTCACTCGATATGCGTATATTACACTTACAAGCGAAATGGCTGACTTATACTACTTGTTCGACTCGTGTTATTGATTTTTCGAAATTACTTTTGCAATTGACGCAATCAACAAATTTCTATCCACTTAAAATACAAATACAAATAAAAATACAAATACAAATTTTTCCAATATTTTTTCAAGAGATATTAAAAAATATCAAAATTCTTATAAAATTCTTACTGAAAATAGAAAATTAAATAAAATAAATACCTATCAGCAAATACACAACTCGCGGGAATCAATCCGTGTACAGTGTAACTGATAGCCCTGACGAGAATTCTGAACTGATCCCGACTGTTCAACGTTTCCTGCTTGATGCTAAGTATCACGGGGCCAAGGTCGTCGTCGTTGGTGAAATAATTCCAATGCTCAGTTCCATAGAAATATTTCTCGTATGTCTCTTGTTCGACCGAGGTCAACTCGAATCCTTGGTTCTTCTCCCATTGCTCCTCGATCGTGGTCTTCTTTCTGGGCACTTCGTCGGTGTCAGACTCTTGCTGGACCTCGGCCAATTCTGTGTCGGTCGCCTCTCCGCTCTCGCTCTCATCCCAGATCGTGTCAGAGGTGATCTGCTGTCTGGAGCACTCGATCCAGTAGCCAGGTGTAGGTATCAGGTTGTGAGGGAACTCGTTGCAGAATTCATCTATTGGAAAATATAATATTTTGCTTAATCATATTGCGAATTATTATGGATAAGAGTAACGAAGGAAAGGATGGTCTCTCTTCGTGAGGATTTAAGGAATAAATTAATTTGAACAAATTAGAGTTGGATTATTTGAATTTTTTTTCTTTGAAATTTAAAATAATAATTTTAACGTAATTTTTATATTTAATTCCATTTAATTTTTATCCATTTAATCAAAGAATGATTTTTTTAAAAGATTAAATTCAGGTTGAAGTTGTGAATAATCTTGAAAATGTAAAATAATAATTTTAGAATAATGATTATTTTATAATATTAAGAATACATAATGATATAATTTTTTTAAAGTATTCACTGTACCCATTAATCAAGTTATAATTAATTATTTATTATTTTTAAACTGTATTTATTATGTTCTTTAATAATTTATAATTCGAATTTTATTTACTAACGAGAGAAGAGGATTGTAATTTATTACAATTTTGAAGTTTAATGGGAAATTCAGAAACTAGTAATTTTATTAAAAAGACATTGCGCAACTTCATTATAATGATGTACGACTAAAATGTAATTCCGTGAGCGAGAAGCAAATAAAATAAAATTAAAAAATATGATACATGAAATATTTGTTGGACGTTGTTCAAATAACGAAAGAGATTTTATTTGTTTCATCCGTTTGTTACTTGATTACGGTTATGTATTCCATTAATCATTGTTCATTATTTAGTACTCGTAATCTCTCATTAATTTATCCGATTTTCATTCTTTTATTTGTTATATAACAGAAAACTTATTTGTTTGCTTTTACTTTTATTTTTATACGAAATAATTATTCATTTAAATTTATTTTATTTATTTTATTTCTTATTTCTTCATTTAACAGCGAATGATCATTATCTTTTCCTTATTTCGACGAGAAACTACGTATTATTCGATAAAGCAATCCTTATCGTTTGATATTTATTCATTAAAAAATACAAATTAGCAAATCTACAATTATATAATTATCATTTTAATAAAAACTTGCAATTTCACAATCTGAATTCACTGTAATTGAACACAATAGATATAACGAAAATTATTTTATACATATACCACATATCTAATTTTAACAATCGTATACCAAATTCAATTATTATTTATCTATCTATATAACAACGTTGAACAACTTTTTATCATTATTACTTACTTTATCGTAAAAGTAAACGACATCTAAAAATTATCCTCACGAGTCTCCTCAAAACTCAGCAATAAACAGAAACTTTTTCAGAAACACCATGCAACTACTTCACACCCCTGTCTCCCCCCAATTTCATTTCCCATTATTCTCCTCAATTCACCCTTCCATCCTCCTCGAAACAACACACTCCTCGCATCCTCGATCGAGAACGAAATTTCAACGAATCCACCCTCTTATTATTCACCCTCCACCCCGAAGCAACAGTCGATCCAAACCACCTCGAAGACGTTTCCTCGTAGCCACGTGGAAACGTGAAAGAGTCGAGAGGCGTGGAAATCATTAAGGAAGCAAGGCTGCTGTTGGGGTCGAATCCGATCGAACTATCGGGGGTTGCCCTCTTTCAAGGATTTTTTCTTTCGACGTGCAACTAGGCTATCCCGTCCACTTAGTCACGTATCGCGTTTCCCCCTTCGCAACATTCCGCTTTTCATCGATCCGCCCTTCTCCTTCTCTTTCTCTCTTTTCTTTCTGCCTCTTTTTTTCTCTCTAGAAGGTTTATGACACGCGGATTATTGTACGAGATATTTTTGAGGAAATCAAATTTTGGGTAAAGATTTTCTGGAAAATCTGAACCACCGTGGACATTTTTCATGGATATAAAAAATAAAATTCCTAAGTGATATGAAGATTATGTCATAAATCCTTGATATTATAATTATTGTATAGATATAGATATTATTCTTTTTTTTAGATTAAGAGAAGTAGAATTGATGATTGGTAAATTCGAGATCATTTTATATAGTGTCACGAAAAAAGTTCTTAAAGATAAGATGGCTTGATCACGATATATGAAGACGATATATTTGAAAATTTATACAACTAATTAAATCTTAATGCAACATTTTGTTTGTAATTTTTATTCTTTATGTATATAATTATATCATATGTTATTGTAAAAATTCGTTTGTTATTTTTCTATTTTCGTTTTCTCCTTCATTTAGAAATAATCCCTAGTAAAAACAAAAAATAGTAAAAATTCAACCGTTATTTATATATTGAAAGATAATTAAACATCTAACATTTTTTTTTTTTGATAAACAAATTCAGATATTAAGAATTGTCCGGCAAAAAGAGAGAAGAACTAAGAACTTCTAAAATATCCTATCAAAACGATCATCGCATTAAGAGCAAGCAATTCAAGAGAGCCCTCTCAAGGAAAAAAATCGCAAATCAAGCGATATATCTCTCGAATATCGATAACCTGTTAAAAATCCCCTTAGATCAATAAAGCCAATAAAAAAACACTATATTTTTTCAATCAAAAATTAATTTGTCGTGAATATACGTGTTATACACCAACCTTTAGATGGACACACACGTTCAACATTCTCTCTCTCTCTCTCTCTCTCTCTCTCTCTCTCTCTCTCTCTCTCTCTCTCTTTACTTGTTGGAACGTCGACGATACCACGGTCGACTCACTGTAAGGTAGAACACCAAACTGTTTATAGACAGGCTTGGTATTCGAACTTAAAGTGAACCGGCCCCGGTGCATCCTCGTCTCTCTCCCTCTCCCTCTCTCTCTCTCTCCCTTTCTCTCTCCAGACTGGTCGTCTTTCCGCCCCTCTAATCTCGGCTTTCTCCCTGCAGGAACTAATGGCCTGTAGTGGTTCGTAAATTCGATCGTCGATACCCGGGGACAGCCGGTTCCTCTTTTACACCCCCTTCCTACGGATGACGATGCTCCTCTTCCAGCTTCTTCTCGTATCTCTGCGTCGAAGGATCGCGAGATATATCCTCTCATATGGAGGATAAAATAACGATTAAACTGCGGATGTTTCCCCTCGTGATTTTCATCCTTACGTTTTATATATATATATATATATATTTTTTTTTTTTCAAAATTCGATGTAACTCTCGCAATAATAATTTTCGAAATATTTTTCTCGGTTATATTTCGGTTTGCGGAAAAATATGATAATACGAATATTTGAAAGGTGAGATAACGAACAATCAAAAAAATTGAAGTAGTAAGTATATGTAATAATAATAATAAAAACGTTGGGCAGAAGTAAGTTAATGGATCGTGTGACGTTAGTATCGCGTTCTCGATAGTGTTAATGATGATGGATTTTTAAAAAAAGTTACGTCTATTTTTTTTTTTTTTTCTAAATATCCAAAAATCCTTGTACGAATAATTATCTTATCGTTCTGATAATATCTGAATTGTTCTAATTCAAAATATAATGTAACGTGTTCAATTAATAACTCAAGGTTGCAAAAAACATGGTTTGTGTAGCCTATAATTAGCATTTACTACACGTATACTATGACTACGCTGTTATGTGAGAGTTTACCGATAGAATAAATTAATCTAACGATACAAATTTGCCATATGATTATAGAATATGCATGTGTGAATATATAATAATATATTTTTGCATATAATTATAAATATCAATATGCAAAACATACTTATTACGCGAAAGATAGAAAATAAAATATGTATTTGTCCATTATTGCTTTATCTGTTTTCTATATAATAATTTATGTAAACATCCGCAGTCTAATATCGTTGGTAATTCTTGGCAAAATTTTTGGACTTTTTGAGAAGGGAGAGAAGGTTGGTATTACGGTGAGATTTTTTTTTTTTTTTTTAGGTTGATGGAGGGGTGGTAATCTTGTCGCGGTGTCGAGTAAATGTTTGATGGATCGAGTTTGCTTCTAGATTAGTTTCTTTTTTTTTCTTTTCTCTCTCTCTCTCTCTCTCTCTCCTTTTTAGAATTATATGGATTGGATTTTATCCCGATGAGATAAGTTTAAATTTGTTACTTTTTCTTCTTTTCATCGATAATGATTTATGTATCTTTAAAAAAAATTTAAAATTGAGAAAATATATAATTTTGTTTTAGATAGATAGTTATAGATATTGAAGGTTATTTTCACTTAAAGATTTTTGCGATACTCTAGCTTTTATAAAATTTATTTCTATCGGAAATAATAGAAAACATTGAAATCCAGATGAAACTTTTTACACATTTCACATGAGTTTCGATTTTTATTTTAAAACTGGACAGATTTATACGTGTATGTATGCACGTTGCTTGCATACACGCGAGTTTACGGTAATTTTGTCGTTGAACTCGATGGATTCCATTGTAACAATTGTCAGTGAAAATTCTGTAAAAACGTTTATTTGATTTTTCGCACTTACGCACGATTTCAAACCGAACCCGTTTCATGAATAAAATGGATATTTGTATTATTGGAACCGAATACTTTTAACATCGCATTTCCATGAATTTATGTAAACTTGATTAATTTCGTACGCGGGCGATGTTGCGGATGTCATTTAGCAACGGTGTATTAAATTAAATAACGATTTAATTACACGTACGAGAATAAATTTTCAAAGTATACGAATGTATAAATGCTCCCACACGTATGGAATATTAAGTTGTCTATAATTTTGTCAGATTATTTGGATTTTTTCTGTTATTAATTTTTCATCAAAAAAAAAAAACGAATATTAATTATTGGCGAAAGAGATTTACTATTTTACTTTCGTTGAATTTTATTTTACTTTTGATTATATTCAACGTGGAATATATTGAACATTATTATTGTTTCGATGAGTGTACATATATAAATTTATTTGATAGAAAGAATTTCGTTTCTAAGTCAAGTGACATAGAATTTTTTTTTATAAACTGTGTTTTATAAACTTTCTTTAAAAAAATGAAATATTAATATTTATTTTAATTATAATGAATTTTAAACGTATTAATTTCTTTCAAAAATTACTTCCTTTTAGATGAAATATATCTATATTGAAATATCAAGTGGAAATAATTTAAAACAATAGATAAATAAAGTATTAAGTATTTTAAAATGCTCAAACATTTATTTTATCAAAATTTGATGACATTTCTATTTTTGCAATTAGCAAATAACCATTTCTGTCCACATGACAAATATTTGCCTTGAAATAACAAATAACTTGAATATGCGAAACACGTTCGTTCAATTAAGCTTTCAAAACATGTTGCAAAACATGTTTATTTACTTAAATGATTCCAGAATACAAAATACATGCACGTTTCCTTCACGTTTCTTCAAATATGTCGAGAGATATGTCCCAATATCATTAAGTGGAAATTTATTTACTTACGATAATAAATTTTATAAATCTCTACGAATTTATCTTCTAAACAGAAGATTTTTCTTTCTAAAATTTATCTTCAAATCTTAAGATCAATTTGCATTAAGAAAAATTAAATTTCTGAGATATACTTTTTTGAAAAACTTAAAAGATATTAATAAAAATCAAACATATCATTTTAAGTCAAACGAAGTAAATTACAATCTTTTATTATATGAAAAATTTATAATATCTCAGAATTCTTTTGTAATATCAAAAAATAACATTCCCTTGGAACAATAAATTATTATAAGAAGTGAACCATAATTAATTGAAATAAAAATTTTATAAATCAATTTTTAAAATTCTAAGATAATTGATATTAATTGTAAAGTATTCTTTCCAAGATAAAACATATGTGTAGCTTTTTTTTCTTCCTAAATTATATCTTATTTTAAAAATAAGAATGAGAAAAATGTAGAAATTAAATCATATACCAGTACGCCAACAAAACGACAAAAACTTAATCACGAGTTGAACACTTGAGGATTTAATTCGATTCGATTTAGATTCGAAACGAAGCCAGTGAATGTAAAGGCGTGTAATCCAAGACAGGAGAAACCACCTGTAGCGTCGACTCATACATATGTACGTCTAGTAAAAGTTCGCAATTCTAGTCTCTTTCCTTCCGTTTCCCCTCGACTCGTTCTCGAGTCTCTTAACTTGTTAACCTTCAACCGGCGACTGCGTGAATTTTCAGCATCTCTAATAACATCAGCTTATATATTTCTCGAAATAAGTCCGCGTTATATAATTATCCTAATATTTAGTTATCAAATTTGATAAATTATATTATTTTTAACTTATTATATGTAATTAAATGAAAAATTAATAATCGATGGAAAAGTTATGTATGATTTTTAATTTTATCATTATGTAATAACAACTTTGTGAAAACCTTTGTTTATTGAATCGTGAAATTTAAAAGTCTGCTTGAATTAAATGTGTTTCCATTGAACCGTGTGTTCGATAAAAGTGATTATATATTCTGTTTTATTTTGTTTTTGTATATCAGAGTTAATGAGGAAGGAGATAAGGAATTTATAATAGGACTTTCTCAATATTACTTCCTGTTAGCAAATAACTGTTCGAACCTTAAGACATTGATAAGAAATATGACAAATATATTATAAATCTTGACAAAGTGAAACCTTGTTTGATTCACTGATAAAACATATTCTAATATTACTACACTTTACTTTATAATACAATATTTCCTTTTTACATTGATTGCTATTTTAAACCATTTCACAAGACACACATGCCACAAGATAGTTTGGAAAATTGACAAATTAGCTGGCCATACCTGAACAAGCTTGCGGTGGTAAGGGGAAGATTAAGGTGGTCGATGACTTCCTTCGGGCAACTGCGCAGCCTAAACTTTGTGGTTTGAAGCTGCGCAACTGCTGCATGAAGTCCGAGCACTCCATCAGCGCCACGTCAGCGAAGTGAAGATCGCAAAGTATTTGGTTCTTGAACCTGTGAAACAGAAGGAATTAATGATCCCTCTGCATCTCTAAATAAATCGAACAATATTTTTTGAATTAATAACGACGAGCTTGTTATACGTATAACGAGCTGATGGAAAAATTTCTTCTGATTTCCGATACGATATCTTTTAACTTGCTTCCTGATTGATTTGCTCCATTTCACAATTTTTTTTTTCTTTCTTAAATTTATAATCTTACCGTTGCTCTTTAGAATATTTTATAATCGATGATGAAATGAAGATTTAATAATTATTGATATTATCTTTGTGTTTGATATTGCGGAATAATATCCAGATTATAGAATTTCATATTTTATAAATTTGGAAAAACTTTTTTGCTATCTTGTTTTTGTACCATGCGAAGATTTGTCTTTTGTTATTTAATAATATTTTGATGAGAGTTTTTTTTTATATTTTGTGAAATGTAAAAATATATCTCTTGTTATTTTAACTTTATGTTATGTAATAATAATTTTTATTATTATAAATTAAGAGGTGAATTTTAAATTTACTTTAATCATGTCATATTTTTCCTTTTTCTACTTATCTTTATCGAATTTATGAATATTTAAGAAAAAATTTTAGAAAAAATTTTATTCCCTTGTGGACAAATATTATTCTTTTCTTACGAGATGTATGTTTATTTTGTAAAAATAGCGCAAGTTGTATATTGTATGTTTTATGTATACAATATATCGGTTGGGAAAATATTTATCTCAGCGGTTCAATTAAATTGTATATTTTTATAGGTCGACGATCAATAAAAATAACAGCTTCTCCCTCGGGGTATATGAAATGAAAACTGCAATCTTTTTATTCGTGCAAATTTAATAATATTTGCGCAATTGTAAAACTTTATATCTTTTGATATGATACTCACCTTATCATTGTATTTCATATTACTTTATTATCACTTTATAATTGAAGAAATAGATTAAAAATAATTAATAAATATCAATTATTTTATTAAGAATCGATTAAAAAAATATATATATATATTTCACATTTGTAATGATTAATACAAAATATATCTATTAAATTTTGAATAATTTGCTTTAGAATTTATTCGTGCATTATTTAATTATCATCTAAATTTTAAATTTACGAAATCAGATAGAAAAATAAATAATAAATTTTAATGATCTATATTAAATAAATAACTTGAACGATATTTAATATATAATCTAAAACACTCGTAATTCCATACGTAACAGTTAATATTAATATTATATTAATATAATATTATATATAATATTAATATTAATATTACAAAAATTATATTGAATATAATCTATCTAGCAGCAATTTTTTTCTCTATGAAAGAGCTGGCAGAAAGAGAATTTACAGTTCCATTTATAAATAAAATATATCGTTCTCAAATATTTCTTCCAGAACATATTTCAAATTACCTTTTTTATTATTCTATGCAATCTTCGCATCTATTCACATGTGCACGTTTAACTACTTCACCTGCATGAAATAAAAAACACACACGACACAATTTTCGTTTTATCGATCCTCGAATCAAATGCATCTCGGGGGCCACGATCGAGCGAATACCGATTCCAACAGCCATGACGTTTTTCCATGTCACGTGGAAATACATTTCGCGATGGGAAAATTCTTTTGAACGAAAACAAACCGCGAGGAAATGAAGATCCTCGATCTAAAAATTTTTATTAGGAAAAGTCAATCCGTGAACGATATAAAACGTCAGCCTTTTGTATCTCTTTTGTAGCTTGAAATAACAAAAATATCGTGAAAAGTTTCATTATCTGTATTAAAAATAATACAAAATATGGATAAAAAAAATTTTGTTGATTTACCCGCGAATGTGTTTTGTTTATAAAATTCTTGATTAAAGCGATTGAAATGAAGTTTTTCTTTTATTTCTACGAATGAATTATTTCTAAGAATGCGTAGAATTATTACATTTATATTTTTTTTTTAATTTAATTTAGATTTTAGAATATGTTTCGCGTATACATAAAAGTTTTGGATAAAATAATATATGAAAATTATTTATCTTTATGAATAAATATAAGGATACATGGAATTATTTCAACAAATATATGTATATATATGTTGAAATACACATATATTTTTTTCTTAATAATTCAATCTAGATGAAAATTCGTTTTATATTTATATGAAAGTTATAAGTGAAGTAAAATGAAAATTTGGTATTTTTTTTATGAATGAAAGCAAGAACGTATATATATTATGATATAATATTATTAAAACTCGAGCAATATTTATTTTTTGAAAAATTACTCATAATATAAATTCATGAATAATTATCGATGATCATCACAAGAAATACTAATTCGAGATAACTGATATCTTGTTTGACCTTTTTCTTTCTGGGCATCAACAAGTATTTCGATTGCCCGATAATTTCCTAATGAATTCATTTCATGTTTTATGCATGCATTCTATTTTCTTTATTTGAAAAAACTGGTTTATGTTGCCAACAATGTTACCTTTATTTAAACGATTCCATACATATTCTACAATATTTAGGTCATAGCTATATTTATTACATCATTTCTAAAATCTTTGTAAAGCATAAAGATTCATTTCCATGTAATATTGCGAAAGATACGTTCATTTCCTATTATACGACAACTACTGTGAATATGGTATAAGATTTTTCCATTTTGATATTATTGAGGAACTGTATTGTTGCCTGCGAATTCATGAAATTGCATTAAAATGTAACATTGTGTAAAAAGCTTTTACATATATATTCCGTTTTAAAAATACTTTGCTTAGTTGCAATCAAAGAACCATAATGGCTTCGAATATAACATACAATGGTAAAAACTTCTTATTTGGTAAAAACTGCTTATTTCTTTACATAATACAATTTCCATTACAATAAAATATAGTGTTGTTGTTGTAATACAGAAGAATCGAATCATAAATTTATATTTTGCTGTAAACAAAATATTTCAAATCAATTATATAATAATTACAAAAAATTAAAAAAGAATCAAATTATACCGTGCGTTCAAGTTGTTAATTAATACAAAATATTAAGTACATTCATCTTAAATATACAAAATTTTGTATGCATAATTGTAACATTTGATGTACAGATTGTGTTTATCATTATAATGCAAAATTTTGATTACAGATAACAGAGTAACATTTAATATGTAATTATATAAGATTGCTTAAATCACTCACCGTCTAGCCCGTTTCTGATTGGGTCCTGTGAGATTCAAGCCGCAGCTGTTACATTTTAGACATTCCTCATGATAGTGATTGTTGTCGTACAGTGGTGATGGTTCTTGAAAAAATAAAAAAAAAAAGAAAAGATTAATCGTTTTAATCGTTTTACGAAAATAATTCAATATAATGATATCGATATAATATCGATATAATTTAATAAAAAATTCATTGTACGTAGCTTAATATAAAATTTTCATATATGGAAATTTTTGAAATGATTTAATATGAAATATGGTACATGTAAGATAAAATATGTATCTAGATCAACGTGATTAAAATAATGAGGGTTGAAAAAGGTTGAAAAGGGTCGAAAAGGGTTATCAAACGATTATCTAATCATAATTTTAAATATTTAATAAATCTTAATATAAAAGGAAAACTGTTTGTTGGTATATATAATGTACTATACATTATAACGTTTATTAAGTAAAATTAGAGTTTGTCGGTAAGTTTTTTCCATAAACTTTAAAATTTTAGAATCTAATCTAGCATAAAAAATTAAAAGGGAGAAAAAAGAAGAGGAAAAGTTAATAATGTGAAATGAGAGCAAACACAGCAGAGCAGCTGTTTAAAATTCTCATAGGTATTCGTCCACTTTGATCCAAGTCTTTTCACTTTCTCGTTGATGGCATAATTTTCGTGGAAATTATTCCTTTGAATGGAGAAAGTTTACAGAATTAATAAAGCCCGAGTGCGAAATGAATTTGCAATGGTTAATCCAAAATCAATAGAACTTCCATTTATATCTCATTAGATCTATTAAATTTCGACTTACCGGAATTATTAGACATTAACTGTATCTGTAATTTATTCAAATTTGCTCTAATTTGAAATAAATCAAGATTTATTATTTATTTTATTTTTCTTTATTTAATATAATATAAATCCCTTTTCTATAATATTCTTAAAATAACTATTGAAAGATTATCAATAGTTGTCTGTGATATTTCAAATTTTATTTGAAGCAAATATATGTGCGATTCAGGATTTAAAAATTAAATTATTAAATTATTATCTGAAAATAGAAAATAATTATATCGATTCCGTTTACGAAAAAATGCAAATAAACGAAAACCTAAATGAATGTCTTTAATCAACATGTTTTTAATTGAAGTAAATATCTCGTTTGAAGAATTTGAAATATGTTAAATATTAACTTGATTACAACGTTATTCCCTGATATCATAATATAATAATCTTCAAAATATTTCCATAATATACGTGAATATTTCTAGTATCTATGTAAGAAAATTATTTTGCAATTTGAAAATTATCTATATCGAAAAATTTTTCTCTTTAGATTTTGGTTTCATATATTTTCTACCTTCTACATTTTTAATTTTATTTTCTATCTCTTATATCTTTTCGGTCTCTAACTTCATTTTCTGTCTTTTATTCTTTTTGTATTACTTTATTTCCTATCTTTTTTTATTCAATTCTATTTTCTGTTTCTAATAAAACGTCAGATATAATCTAGTTCAATTACAAACAATAACATTCTCTTATTTAAAATTATTACTTCTATTAAACTTTATCGACTTCGAAAATCTCACTAAAACAGAATCCGCAAAATTCTAGCCTACATATCCGCCTCGATAATCCAATCACTGTGCAAACTAGCGAAAACGCCTGGAAAACGAACCTAATCCACGTATTCACAGAAACAAGAAGAAAAAAAAAAAATTTTGTCAGTGATGCTTCATCGATCAATTTCGAGGATTAATACTAGAAATCCTTGAAATTTTATCCTATAGAATTGTATTGGCAACTATTTTGATCGTGCACAATTTATCTATCTCTAATCGTTATATTATATTCGATATATCAATGATAACTTTTATTTATCTGTATATAAAGAAAATTTGATACGTGATTTAATAATAAAACTACAAGTAACACGAATAACACCATCTTTTTTAAGTACACCAATATTTTGAATGCTAATTTTATGTACTTTAATAATATTATAATATAATAATAATAATCATATACTTATTTATCTACAATAATATTTCCATTAATACTAGTAAATATAAACAAGTACTACGAATCAATATTTGATTCATTATTATATAACAATATAATATACACTATACGTTTTACAGTTATCTGACAAATGTTTATCATATTGCAACAATCTATCCTTATTCTATACATGCGAATTAACACCTTCCATTTCAAAAATTAAATTAAACTCTTCTTCTTTCCTTCTTTCTATTACTTGTCCCCTCCCCTCCCCCAAAAAAAGAAAAAAATAACTAGCTTCTCCTTTCTCATTCAATTAAAGAAATTAAATTCAATTGTTGATTTAATCACTTTAACAAAGGAAGAGGAAAAAAAAAATCGAAATGGTTTGACAAACGTGATTCCAATATCAAATTAGATCAAATCCAATCGCAAGGCTATACCTTTTCTCGCGTCCTCGATCGTCCTTCTTCTCTCCTCTTCACCCCCACGTTTTATAGTTAACGACCAACAGTCGAAGGGTGTGGCCTTCGATTCTCCTTCTCCCTTTTCATTCATTCTCCCTTTCTCTCCCTCTCGTGGGGACCATAAAAAATTCCAACGCGTGCCGAGCACCACGGTATGTTGATATCAAAGAGAGGAGAGGAGAGAAGAGAAGAGAAAAAGAGAAGAACGAGGTCGCCGAGGCGCCGGCGTCGTTCTCGTGACCGGCTAAACGTCTAATTGCACGCACGCACGCGTGCACGTTCAGATGCTTCTCTGAATCGGGGCAGTGACCGGAAATTTACATTTTTATTGCCGCCACTCGATGGCAGAATTCGAACGTTGGACGACTGATAAGGATGTAGGGCTCGAGATTGGGGATGATTTAGTAGACTGGAGAATTTTTTTTTTTTTTTCCTTTCTTTCTTTCGTTTTTCGAAACGATTGAGAAGGAATTGTGGTTTATGTATTTTTTGAGGATATCGGTCTCTTGTGTGGATATCGGTGTATGGAATTGTATTGCAATTTAAATGAGAGAATTTTTTTTTATAAGATTTTTTTTTAACAGGATATTGATTGAAGGAGAAAATTGTTCTGACATTAGGAAAATATATTCTAGTTTGAATTAAAACATGCAATAAATTCGATATTTTTTTTTTTTTTTTTTAGAAATTTGATATGGATTATTGGAAATATAAAATGTCATAGAATAAATTGTAAATTATTTTGAATTGTATGACGAATTGTTGATAATGAATATTAATCATAAAAAGAAAAAAAGGATAATCCTTTTTTAATTGGATAAAGAAAAAATATAAAGCTAATTGCGATTCCGACTTCAATTGAAAATACTTATATAACACAATTTAAAAAATTGATATCTGCGAAACATTTTTATTTGATATACGATAAAAGCAATTACATATTGTATAGAATATACATATGTAACATGAGGATATAAAAATGATGACGAAACAAAAACTTTTCTCTTAAAATGAAAATACGTTTCATCAGATAAAATGTATAACCTGTACAAGATTCTTTTTATCTCAACCAATAATCTTCTTTCATAAATCAGGGGATTTATCTTAAATTGCATCTTCTTATGCAATTAACTCAAAACTCTATAAAAAATAAAATAAACTACCAAATAAATAAATAAATATAAACGATATTTAAAAAATGACTCGTTAAACAATTAATATTTATAAAAAAAAAAACAACATGCAAGTAACAAAATAACTACGCAATCAATGTACCAATGAAATAACAGAGAATGAAATTGCAAAAAGAGAAAAAAAACTACTCTTTTCTAAAAAAAGAGAAAAGAGAATCACGTAACTTAAAATCTGTTCGACTTCATGTCACGATCGATTAAACCAGAATCCAATAACGTGACGCACACGGAAGAAATCGCGTGAAACAGGAAACGTTTCCCTCGAACTGGAAAAAGTGCTCTATGTGGAACAGGAAATTGTTGATTCGAAGTCCCGGAGATGCTCAAGTCCCCGGGTTTAATCGATACTGTACTATTAAAGCAAAATTAAATCTCTATCTCTCTCCCTCTCTCTCTCATTTTGCACGCCTACACAATCTGCGATCTACACAATATCACGAAACATACGAACAGCTAGATTGTTCAAGGGTTAACGCTCTCGTAAGCAGGAAGTGAACTTTATCGTGCTGATCCGCGACGAGCGATACACGAGATAAAATTCGAAACTTGTAAAAGGCGCGCCCGATTAATTAAGACACCTGAGGGTGATGATAAAGTGTGGTACAACATCCGTGAGGAAACGAGGGATGTTAATAGCGCCTTTGCAAAATCGTTCGCGTTATTTCGTTCATGGTTGGACGATGGAATATTTTGAGAGAATGGAGAAATTTGAAAAAATTTTAAATTTCTGAGAATTACAATTAATTTTCGATTGGAGAATTTGAAGATATGTACGGATATTACGAAATTAATAGATAGTTTATTTGTATTGTTGAAATTATAAATTTTAAAAAAATGTATTGTTTAGAAAAAGCCAATTCAAAAAGGAGTTTTATCTGTGCATTTAATTTCTTTTTTATGATTATTAAATAGAATTATTTTTTTTTTTTTTAATAGAAAATCAAGTCGTTGGCCTCTTTTATACACTCTTTTTTAATTCCTAAGTGATTCTTCAACTCTTTCTTGAATTAATGAATTTTAAAATTAATTGTTACTGATTAAAATATTATATGATAAATCATTGCTCTACATAATACTGAAAAAAAGTTGTGTGTAGGTTAATAAGAAATTTCTTTGCAAACGATTATATACATCTTCCATAGACGTGGTTTTTATTAAAGGCTGTTTGATATTCTGTCGTAGTTTTCGAAACCATTGCTTCTTTTAGAAGCAGGGATAAGAGCATAGAGGAGGAGGGGAAAAAAAAATGCCCTTTATCGTCTCCATCTCGATCAGGACTTTTAAAGAGGCTCGTTCGACGAAGAGGACTGGAAAATAATCGTAAATAACGAAAATTGCCCCATTGAAAAAAGTCTCTAACCCATGAGGAATATTTGTTGCGATGTAGAGAACAAAAATGGGGAAGATTGAACGATACTTTTTCTTTGAAGAAA